ATCATCACACACTTCCAATAATCTCTTTCACCAAATTTGAACTGTCTACAAGCAGGCAAAGGTTTTTTTATCAATGTGAAATCATTCTTCTTAAATGACTCTGTATCAAACAGTTTTAAAGCTATTTCGACCCCTTCTGCTAGCACGTCCAAATCACTACTGTTGCTAAAATATCCAGGGTAAATTAAAGGTGGTGCCCATACAGGATCGCTCTCATTCAACAATATAAACCCTCTGCTTTCAGGTGACAATAAAACTGGAATAATAGATATAGCGTCGTAATAACATACTGGTTCGACAACTGCATCAAAACATTCATCTGGATTATTTAAAAAATCTTCACGACTAGTTGGAAGGAAATAAACTTGTATATCAGGCACGCCATTCTCATGTTGGAACATTGTTTGCAAGAAAGCACCGATACTAGTAGTACTAATTGCAGATAAAGGTCCTCTATGTGTCTGCTCATAAGTGGAAATGTCTTCAATCAGAGAGATATTTTTGCTCGTGGAAGTAACATTTAATGCAGCTACTGGACCATACATTCCTGAATGGTCTTGAACATTCCTTCCAACTGATAAATTACTAATTACTTGAATACCATGTTTCTCTAATTCTTCTTCTGGTCCAATTCCAGAGAGCATAAGGATTTTAGGAGAATTAATAGATCCAGCTGAGACAATCACTTCCTTTTTAGCAAAAACCGTGTTTAATTTAGTTTGGTTGTTTCCTGAAGCATATTCGATGCCTATTACACGTTTCTTTTCTTGGTCTACAAGCAATTTCGTGACGTATGTTTCATTTTTGACAGTTAGATTCCTGCGTCTACGTCTGATGGGTCGTATGAATGCGCTGTTTGTGCTTTGGCGTGTCCCATTAGCGGAAGTTGTTTGTAGATTCATCACACCTAATTGGTTTTTTGCATTGACATCTACGACTTTGTAACCGAGTTCTTGCCATGCATTTAGCAAGATGGCAATGTTGGTATCAATATATGGAAATTGTTGTACCGACTGGTAACCATGTTGCTTGTGGTAGAGTGGATTCTCTTCCACTATCTGGAAAAAATGCGAATAGTTAATAATTTTAGATAAATTCCAATTTTATTATATCAGTTTGATATTTGTTTGATACAGTTTTAATTTGATTTAGTATAAATTTAATGTGTCTTAAATGAAACAGTACTGGAACGAACTATCATTCGTTTTTTTCAGTAGATAATATTTTGAAGAATAC